ACTAGTAACATCTCTGCTTTCTCGGCATGGGCTTTATGCTGATCATCAATCAGTCAGTCAATCAGTCGGTCAGTCTGTCAGCTTGTCAGTCAGTCAGTTACAAAAATCCATGAGCACTCAAAAGAAGAAAATAAGAATTTTTAGAGCATTTCCAAACGTTGGCAAAAGTATTGAAATTTGTAGTCTTGTCAAGTGCATTTGCCCAAATATTTGGCTGACGAGCTCGTTAAATTTTGAAAATGGGAACACATCGATTGGCCAGTTCATCGCATTGCCTTGCAACCCTTTGCAATCGTTTTCAGTGTTCGGAATTTGCTAACACTGACAGGTTGACAGGTTGAATTTTGGGGGGGCCAAAACATATACATTCGTCCTGGACAAGTGTGCGTTTAGTCCGAAAAAAGCCTTAGTAGTAGTCATTTAGAATTAACAAACCCAAAAAAGAAAATGTCGACGAGTAAGAGTAAGCGTCGAGAATGCAACAGTCCAGTTAGGGTTCTAGATAAGCAAACAGATGACCAGCAGGTGGAAGCTGTGGAGCCGAGCACAGCGGACAACACCGTACAACTAGAGTTTCTCCAGTTTCTCAAATCGCTGGACGAGGTGTCCCACGAGGTGCACCACGGCGTCAACGACTGTGCATCCATTGAAGTACAGTCCCTGCACAGCGACCTGGCCCTGTTGCCACAGCAGGGCAGTCTGACAGGTCCCAGCAATGTGCTGGTTGTGCCCGCGCATCCAGCTACAAAGCTGCAGCTGGAATCGCTGCTTAGCCACAATTTTGTCCACAAGCTACATCTGGCCGCCAGCAGTGCGCAGGTGACGTTTCTATACTGGACGGCCGATGGCCAGCAGCTACAGTTGGACTATATTGGACTGCAGGAGCATCTGGCTGGTGGCCACAGCATGTTTCGCAGCCGCAGCATATTGCAGTTCGTACGCCAGATGGTTGACGTGGGCTTCGAGCGCGTGCTGCAGGAGATCGAGGTGCTCGAGGACAGGCCTCAGTTGTACTATCAGCACACGAATTTCAAGCAGGGCCAGCCCGAGCAGCTGCTGCTCATGCCCACGCCGCAATTCGAGCAACTGGTCCCGCAGAAGTTGGGCAAGCCAAATGCCTCAAAGGGCCCCATTGAGCTGGGCACGGGCAAGGATCTGTGCTCCAGTTTTCAGAACTGCTACTCGCCGTTGCAGCTAGCGCGTTGCCGTTTTCAGACTTTGCTGCACTACCACAACGATGTGCGACTGCTTCAAGAGCGGGAACCGAATGCCGAGCAACTCCTGCCACGACGCGGACGCATCAGCAGTAGTAGACAATCGACGCAGTCGTCGTTGGTGCCCGCGCTGGCCAACAAGCACATAAATCCGCGAGACTCTGTGCTGCACTTTGAGGCTGGCCAAGTGCCCGACTATGCTGGATTCTATGGACGGGTGGAGCCGTCGCTGATCAACGAGTTCTTTGCGGAATACTTGCCGCGCTATGGCGCCAGGACCAGTGGCTACAAGGACATTGTTGTGGATGCCAGCAAGGCGAATGCGTTTCAACAGAATCTGCCCATTGGCATAGTGTACTCGGAGGATGAGGATGATCTTGGAGATCAGGACAGCCACGAGGTGACTAACATAGCCCCTGCGGGGAAACACGACGATGCGCTGGCTGGCGACGGCTTCAATCCGCCGCCAGAGGACATTGAACTCGAGCAGGTCATGCAGGAGCTGTGCGGCGTCGGTCCCGATGTAGAGGAGGACCCTGAAAAGAAAGAACCGACGCCGCTCAAGCCAAAGCTCAAGAGAAAGAAATTGGTAAGAAAATGTGCAATTACGGATACTGATTTGCAGCCGGAATCACCCCATGACGACCACGGCGAGGACTTGCTGCAGGCAGCTGCCGCAGCCGCCGCCTACATAAAGGACGAGCAGAAGAACAACACAAAGGATAACGAGCCAAATGTCAACTGCAGCACAAACGATGCTGGCAAGGATCTCAAGTGTCCAACAGCCCCAAAGAGCGTCTCCAAGCGGCGTCGCTACGATCTGCGTAACTCCAAATCGAAGCGGTCGCGTTGAGCACTCCCAAGTTTCCCCTCCAGGTGAAACCTTTTAAAGTATTTAATAAGAAACAAATTGAAAAAAAAAAAAAAAACAGCGAGAAACAAAAAGAATTGAATATCCACTCAAATGTTTAAACTAAAGCAGTTAGGATAAAAATAAAACAAGTTTAACATTTAACATTTAGTCATTAGTAAGATAGATGCCTTTTATCTATATACATATACATATATATATATATATATCTATATATATTATAATTGTTATTTTTAGTACTATATTCCCTTTGTGATACTGAACAGTTGTGATACCCAAGTGCACTCATAAAGCATTCAGAAATAAATGAACACACCCACCTAGACAATGAACCTCAAAGACATTTCGGAGCTTTCGCGGATATTAAATAATACAATAGTGTTAAAAGTAAGTCTTAAATTATATAACGTATCCATTCATGCCCAATGGATCATTACTGTGATGTTATAAACGCTCTGCACCTCAGGCGATTATAAGCGGATTGAAATTTGATATGTACCAATATGATAAAGAATCGAAATAAACAATTTTACAATGCCACGAGCAGTGCCAACACTTAGATACATGATTTAGCATCAATGAATGTGGGCGGAATGGTCTTAATTTGGGCATTATAATGCGATTTCATGCTGACCCCTTTTATGAACATAACATGGGGCTAGAAACACTAAAGCGCTTTATCGGCTTATCAGATCTCACACGCCTTCGCCTCGTAACGAGCCAGCGGTGGGGGGGCTTATCAAAACCGAAACTGTGATATCTGACCGATAATATCTTTGCATTTGCGACGAGGCACTCAGACCGGGTGCACAATCAGTGCGATGTTTACAAGTTTTATGAGAGACCACAACAACAACAACAGCGACAGGAACTACCGAACCGGCCAGCTTCAATCTGAAGCCAATTTTGAGAACCCCAAAGGCAGGTCGCCTTCAGTCGCTTTTGGTTTCGATTTCGCAAAACAAAAAATATATATAAGAACACAAAAAAAAAAAAAAACGAGAAATGTGTGTTTTAACAACGCACAGCGTGAGGCGAGACACGATTTTTATCGTCTTTAATTTGCTTTTTATTTGATATCATATTTCATGGCATGTTCCAGCGGCCCTCGAAGCTGCAAGCCCAATGAAAACAAAAGCAAGTGGCATTTTTCTTTTCGGGGCACCCAATCTGACTCCAGGAATCGCTTGGCTCTGAGTCGAGACGTCATAATGTCATAAAAATGTCACATACTTTTAATAACTTTATGACAGCTACAAAATCATAAACAAAATACTCTGACAGCGACACACACACGCTAATACAACAGGCTAAGGACAGGGTCGGGGCCTGTGTCTGTGTTGACTGCGGCACATGCAAATGCCGCTGTGGCCAAAAAGGAGGCTTCATCATTTGGAAGCCACATCATAATGAGATGTGTCATGTTCGCCTTCCCAGAATATCTGACGGTTGTTTTTAGTGGAACATCATTGGGCATCATTGTACACTTGACACATGATTATTAAATTTAATGCTAGGCGTATGTTATGGATTATTATTGAGCTAAGGCCCTAGATGAGAGTCTAGAGTTCCACCGGGGGGCGTTGATGGGCAAGCGTTTTGCCTAGTTTTGTGTGTAAAACACATTCAGAAGAATTTGAAGAAAGTATTGTCAACTTCGGAGATCGAATACTCCTGTAGAAATAAGCCTATATACATAATGAAGTCAGAATCGCTTTCTTCTTTACACTTTTCTTGTTTTCATGACAAACAAAGTTTTGGGTTTGTCTGAGAAAACATCTATATAATTGACTTTTTAATCTCGATTTTAACAATATTTTTGTGAGCCTCGTTTTCTATTTACGCTTAACGTGTTCTTCTTTTTGCTATATATAGGTAGATATATCTACCTTTGCAAAGTTCTTTCAACTTGAGAGCTTAAATCCATTCGAAACACTTTATTCGCCTCTCTTGCTCTTTCTCTCCCTCTATCTGTCTCTCTCCCACTCACACATATCCAATTCGATTCCCAACCTCGGCTTTAATTTCAGCACATAAATTCGTTTTGCGACAAAGCGCAGTTTTAAATTATGAAACCTCTCAGCTCGAAATGAAGTCGACTCGTCGCATAATAATGAAGCAGCTGAAAAACTGGGAATTGGAATAACCGAGAGAGAGAGAGAGAGAGAGGGAGATAACGAGAGAATGAGAGAGAGATAGAGTGCTAAAGTCAGACCCGTAGAGTTATTAAATGCCAAGCTATTTGTCGTTTAGCTGGAAATCCAGACAGGCCGGCAGTACTTTAAGTTTAGGTTTAAGTTTAAGACAAGACTCCGAGACTGCTTTATGGCTTTGAGTAGGAAATCTTTATGAGCTTGTGCTCTGGCCCAAACACAGACACAGTGAAAAAAGTGAGACAAATTTATTGGCAAAGTATAAATGCATTTCTTTACGGCTTACAGTTTGTGCACTTTTAATATGAAGTCGTAAACAGTTTTAATGATCCATGACGTTTGTAAAACTATTTGCATATTTCGACATATGAGACTTAGGGGTACTTCTGAGATTGGCAAATTTGTCTTTGTTTGTATGGCAGAGGGATTCGAGTTTTATGAGTACCGCGCACTTTAAATGGAAATCATAATTGCAATCGTGGCTGCAAATCAAATACAATTTCGGTTCGGTTCACTTTTCGAGCCAAGGTTTGATTCGTTTGTAAATTCGTTCGTAACATTTGTAATTTTTTTTTTTTAATAGATCAGTTTCATTTTATATTCTAGCTATCGTCAGGCTAATTACCTACGCAAATGCCAGAATTTCTATATTTCGGGTTTTTGTCTATCTTCATTAATGGGATACACTTCCCTAGAGACCACATTTACTGAGTCAAATATGAATATATATGAATATTTTATAATAATTATTAGGCATCGCTGTTTACTGTAACAGGCTATATTTTATTTCTGCTGATTAGCTACGTGTAAAATTGTAAGTATTTCATTTTAAACTTTATAGTTTTATTTTAATTCAAATTATATGTTTCAGCATTAAGCATAGCTCTCCATTAGAGCCAATCAAAACTCGCTGGGAATATTCATTCTTCATACAAAGTAAATAATTTGTTGGCAATAAAGGAAAGTTATGCTTATCGCATGGCGTTGCAACTAAAAACTCACTTGCCACAAATATTTCGAGCAATTTATCTAGAGTGAAAAACTTGCTCCTGCGAGTGGTCGCATTCGTGTGCGTGTCCTTGTGGCTTGTTACTGTTTTTTTTTTTGTTTGTTATAGTTTTTATGATTGCGCAAATGCAAAATGCATAACAAACTCAATTGCACAAAATATTTCGCATGCGGCGGCAGTTGATATGCACCAAATTGGGATTTATTTCTATGAGAATGAGGGAGACAACTATGGCCACGTCCAGGACCAGGTCCTGCGGCATGTCCCTGGCCCCGTTATCCAAGCAAAGTTGCGGAGAGTAATGGAAATGGGCTGAAAAGGCAACTAGAAAGGGAAAGCTAGCTAACCCACTTTCAAATTGCTTTTTTATTTGCCAATGGAAGCGGTTACGGCTACGGCTACGGATACGGATACGGTTATGGATATCTTATGTGCGAGTGTGACTGCGAGTGCTCTCTGCTGGGAGATGAATGGCACACAAAGTGAGCCAAAGTAGTTTATGCAAAATTTACTAATACATATTTTCAAATGCAACGCCAAAAGTTTGGCCTGCCCCGGGGACTGGCCGCTGTTGTAGTCAAAGTTTGACAGATGAGCTGCAGCCTTGGCCAGAACGTGGCTGTAAAGTGCAATTAGTTGGGCTAGTAATCTTCCTCAGGGTACTCCATGCAGGCGCAGGCCGAAGGGGTGTTGGCTTCAATCCAACGCAGATATTGATTCACCCGTGTGTAAACTCCGGGCGAGTCGGGTCGAGCACAGCCAGCGCCCCAGGAGACAATGCCAGCCAGCTGATACTGTCCCGGCTGCTCGTCGAGGAGCACATGAAGCGGCCCGCCGCTGTCCCCGCTGCAGGCATCCTTGGAGCCCACGCCCAAGTATCCAGCACAGAGCATATTGTCGGTGATCATGGCAGGAGTGTAGCTGGAGCTGCGGCATTCGGATTGGCTAAGAATGAGCACATCGACTTCCTGTTGAGTTTGGAAGAAGAACAGTTAAGCCAACCGGATTTGGAAGGGGTGTGGAATTGGTGCAACAAAATATGATTTAGAAAAATAGAAGTGCGAGAGAGAAAACTATAAGAGAAGATGGCTGGAAAGTTTTGCATCACCTATAGAGAATTAACTTGAAGCGAGGCTTTCCCTGCAATAATGTGAAAGAGAGCACAACAGAGACAGAGAAATTACAACAAAAAGGAGATGAGAATGATATAGATAAAGATATATTCAATCGAATTGAGTTAAGGCGCTGCAGGTAAAGAGATGTAGATAAAAAAAATACAAGAAATATTAGAACTGGGTAGTATTAAGTTTGAGCTTAGTTAGAGTGAAAAGTAAGACATACGAATCACCTGTAAGACTTGCGCTGCAAATCCTCCCTCTCGCAGTGCACCCCAGCCTGTTACCTTGCCCAGCTCCCCCTCGAAGCTGGAGCTGTACACTGGCAAGCAAACAGGTCGCATGGGTGCCTCAAGGCTCACCGGCTGATCAAGTCTTATGAGGGCAATGTCATTTTCGAGACTCCGAGGATTATACAGCTCGTGCACCTTCACACGCACGGCGCGCCGTTGCAGCACCAGGGCATCGCTATCACTACGATTGTGCTCCAGTAGCCGCACGGTGATCAGCTCGGGCGGCAAACCCTCCACACAATGCCCAGCTGTTAGCACGTACAAATCGTTGATCAGTGATCCGGCGCAGTGGAAGTGTCCAAACAACAGCAAAACAGCCATCCAGGGATACTGATGACGGCGAGTCTCCTGGCCGCCGACTATCTTACGCTCCGTGTTGATCAATCCGCAGCGGCAGCTGCTGCATTCCCGCTCAGTTGGAATGCTGGATGATGGCTCTGTTGTGGTTCCCTGCACGTGGCTGGCTGTTGTGGCTATGGTAGCTGAAGTGGTCTCTGGTGTGACTGGAGCTGGCAACAATATCGAGGCAAGCCACTGAAAAAAGCTGCCTGGTCCCAGTTTGACATGGACCGCAGGCTGCAAGGCTGCCTCATGCGCAGAGCACAAGCGTAGAATTGCCAGTGCCACACAGCAGATGAGCTGTAATCTCATCTTGTTGACCACAAAATAGTTACTGCACTAGCCAACAGCTGCTGGAGCTTGGCCAGACTCGGCTGGCCAACTAGAGACTAGAGACCTGACCCACATATAAATCCTGTTTCGTTTCTGTTTCCGCTGCTAATCACGAGACCAATTCTATGATTCATTTCCTAGCACACCTGACCAGTTTTCTTTTTCATTAACGTGTCGTTCCAGGCTAACAAACCGCCAACTTTTCATTTTGCCAACAATTTTCCACGCTGCTGCGCAAATGTATTCATGAAATGTTTGCACGATAAAGTGTAAATGTTTTGCTTGCCTCCGGCTAACGACCACTTTTCACATGAGCACGAGGTGGAAAATATTCGTTATTCGGCTGCTTTGGGTGGTCGCTCTCAGCTAAGTTAAATGTTTATAATTTTCAAAGGTAATTTAGAAATTTTGATTGCATTCGGTTGACGACGCCGATTTTGCAGCTGTGCATGCTTAATTTTATGTCAAAAGGCTTATTTAATTGCATTACTACAATGTAGTAATTAATTTATAAGTAGTAATTGGAGTAATTACTTGCTACTCAGTCAAAAAATCTAGTTTCCTTAAATTTCAGTGCTAGTGTATGTACTTAAAACAAGTAAAAGTGCTTACATCAGAGTTCACTATTTAAGCTTGCATTTTTAAAAATTAGCATCGAGTATTCCGCGAATTTTCAGAGCTTGCCTGATTTTTCTTCCAAATACCATATTGAAGACTTATACAAGCCTCTCATTTAAGACTTGGTCATTCAAATAGATAGAAATCTAGATATTTTGTAAATCATTTTCTTTTGGTGTCACCATATTATGCAAATGAACCGCTTAATAAACTCCAGACTGCTCTCGGTCTGTGCCCAACCCCCGCTGGCAGTTCCCACTTGCCATTTAGGCCTTTGTAAGCTGGCACAATAATCTCTAATAGGCTTAGCATGAAATATTGACGCTTAGTGGATGCTTAGTGTTGCCAAATAGCGCTCTGAAAATGTTGTTAGGTTTGTTATTTTCTTTTTGGGAGTCTGTCTGTCGTAATGAGACGCTAGCCTGTGAATTAGTGAAAGCAGTTTATTAATAATTTTCTATCTAAGCCTCTTATTCGATTGTCGAGCCGGAATGTTGGGCTGTGCCAAGCTGGCAAAGTTATGTCGTAGTTAGTTTTGGGGGCTCTAGACTAATTGAATTTGAAGAGCGAGCGGCAACAATGCCGAATGATCCATGAATCCAGTAAGCGGTTGATGAAACCCATTGAACCTTGATGTGGCTTCAATTGGATTGACACGCCCACAGCGCATCGCTGTTACGCTTGAACACCAAAACTGGAACTCAAAAGTTACCGGAAGGTTTTATAGACCATGAGCTGCTACATTTTTATTTCCATTTAATTAACTATATGGCGAGTGAGTGGCCGCGAGTGAGGGTACAAGAATGCAACATAGTAGCACCTAAATTGTCCAATTATATATAAAATCACAAGCGGCTGCTGATGATGACGACGACGACGAGCTCCGTGCGTAGGTTGCCGCACAGGTAGCCCCTGATTGCCGGTAGCTGGAGCCGGAGACTCGAAGCTGCATGTTTCTGTCGCCGACGATGTCACTTTTGATATTTTTCTCTTAATTGATATTTATGGAAATGGATGTAGTCCGTAAGTGGAGCAGCCATCTGTAAGATTTACATGCGACTGTGGCTTGGTTTCTTGGCCAGCTCGTTAAGGTCTAAATGAGCTGTCTTGGAAGCAGCACGTCCAGAGTCACAAATCCTGACAATACCTCTGCACTGCGGTCAGCCAACAGAAACTTGAACAACTTAAGAACAAAACACAGAACTGCAAAAGAAATCCTAATCTTAGTTGCCACAGTGACCGCCATAATGTTTGCACTTGACTAAGAAATATTGCTTAATTGCAGAAACGCAATAAACTTGCCAAGGGCCAAAAGTTTTGGAATCAAGTTTTGTGGTTGCATCTAGAGATGCCGCTCGCGGGCTTACAGAGTATCATTAAAACCTCAAGTCAAGTTAATGGCCCTCAATAAGGAATATCGATTGGGATAAACTTTTATAATGCGAAAAGAATATGTTGTAATATGTGTCAATAATTTATTTAAATTTATATTATATAGCAGCTAAAGCAGCAAATATCGATTTCTATATATGTTAAATTGTTTATTTCGCCAAGACCTCGTTTTAAATAAAATAAAGCTGTAAATTTCGCATGATGCTAAAAAAATTTAAAAAATATTCTTTAACACACATATAATATGAAAAGTTGTTAAAAATCGAAACTGCGTAGGATAACGCTTTTAACATGATCCTAAAAAAAAAACATACAAGTGTGTTTGTTGTTTGTATGTTGTTGGAGTGCGCGGTGCCTTTTGCCTCTCCCAATTGCATACTTGTGTTGTTAAACATGCGCTGAGGCTGCCTGTTGGCTTCTTTATCTTGACAGCATCGGGCTTTAAAATACAAGTATAAATACTATGGGCTACAAATGTACAAACATTCCTACAGAACCCCCTCCCGCCACCCCGAGCATATCAACCCACCATTCCACCGCCAAACACACAAACCCAAATGTCAGATTGCGAGGGGGGAAAACGCACAATTGCAAAAGCGGCAACAACTTTTAATTAAAAGCAACATTTTCACACAGTTACTTTTCGCAGCGTAAATCTCTGACTGTAGTCGGTATCTGTCTGTGTGTGTGTGTGTGTATGTGTGTCTGCCATTTAGCCTCAGCAAAAGCTGTCAATTGATAAACAAGTCAACTGTCACTTAGGCTCGCATTGATAGCTCCTTATCGAGCCGAATGCAGCGAATCGAACGACCAACGCTAATCAGGCAGAGTGTCCCCCAGGCCTGAGGTGTCCAACTCGGACTTGGTACCGGAGTCCTGCCTTGCCACTTGCTGCCTCTGCTGCTGCGGCTGCTGCGGCTGCTGCGGCGATGGAGATAAGTCGGCGACACATGTCACAAGCTGTGTTTATTCTTTATACTCTGTTTTTCCACTTTATTCGTTTTTCGATATTCGTTTTCCTCAAGTTGTATTATTTTTAATCAAAAGTGGAAATTAAACGCGGCTAATGAAGATTTTAATTGCGTGCCACAAGCCGCACTGCGCCAGCATGTGGGCAGCTGCCTCGACTAACCAAATACTATTTTCGACCACATGTTCGACTTGGGAACTACATGCACAGCGTTTGTCGCCGCTGCTCGGCACACACGCAATCCACGCAGTCGCCCAGGCTCACAGGCAACTTTTACTATGGATACCCTCTCTCTGGACTAGTTGCTAGCTGCTGATAAAGTAAGCTGCTTAGGTTTTCAGGTATTCGCCTGCCTGATTGCCTACATTTTGCATGCACGCGTTTATGACATTTTCAAAGGCTTAAATCATGTAACTGTGCTGTGGGCTTATTGCGTTTATTTTAACGGATTAGTTGGCAAAAAAATATTTGACAGATTTTTCGCGAATTTGAAAGTACGATTCGAACATTAATTGACAGACGTAACCGAAAAGTGCTCATGTGCAAATATGTAGAACACATATCTACTTACCTGGTTCAAAAAGCAAGAGCAAGCCGCATGGCAAATAAAACTATTATTGCGAGAATTTGTTAAAGACTACTATCAATAGAATGTTGATTGCGAATGTTTTGCAACCGAAAGTTTCTGATTAGTATTATATTCAATATTTTTGGACAAACAAAAAACAGTAGATAATAAATATTTTTCAATAATATTTTAGAAATTACGAATTTATGCAGAGTATCACCAAAAAGGCAAATAATGAATTGAATACCCTGCCTCACCACAAAAGCTTCCAGCAGAAAGAATATTCGTCAATTAAAAGAATTTGCTGATAAAGTTGGATGACAGAAAAAGCACTCAGTATAACCGCATAATTCAATTTAAGGTATTTCTCAAGATCTGACAATATCCTTGTATATTCAAGTAAGCATTTATCCATTGCTTCTTCATGTATTTTTGGTTAAAAGACTCACTTTTATGCGGGGAGAAATTAAGGAACGGATTGAGATTGATTGTATAACTTGCACTTTATCGTAGCGATAAATTAATGTGAAGTTTAGCTAAATGCGACTTAGCCGGCCATTAGGAAAACAGGATTTTAAACACTCTTAAAAGAGGTCATTGCAGTTTTCCCCTTTGCCACCTTTATCATGGAAACTCACGTCAAGAACTAACGTAAAATGTAAAAAATGTCACGCTTCATTTGTGTAACCCGCTCAAATGGACACCTGGCCCAAGCCGAGTGAAAAGAACTGTCAACCGATTGAAAAACAAAGGAAAAGGAAATAGACAGAAAAAAATAGGAAAAAAAATAAAACAACATGGCACACAAATTCCACGATAGACACTGAAACAAATAGAATCGGACAGATCGATTAGGCATACAAATGTGCAATTAGAAGTGGAAGCGGAATGTAAAATGGGGAATGTGGAATGTGGAATGGGGATGTTCACTTGACACAGTCCTGGGCCATACAAATGAGAGATAGAAGCCGACGTTCGTGTGCTACCCTTTGCTCAATAAACCGTTACAAATGCCATCAAAAGAGCGAGAGGCCCTGAGGGAGAGAGTGAGAGAGAGATGGATGACGGAACAGGAAGCGTTACAGAGAGCTAACGAGCCGTACAAACGACACATAACTTTCCGCCGGAGATACTTCTCGGGGAACACAAATATAGGTAGATAGATTGCAAAGGCGAGCTTTGTGCTTTTCCACTCTTTAATTGAATCAAATTTTCAGTAATTTCGTAATTTATCTGCCGTTTGTTTGGCCACTGTCCACAACAAATTTCAATAATTACGGGCAGTTTTTAATTACACTGTCCGTGTGAATTCGTGTAAGTGTATGTGTATGTGTGTGTGTGGGTTTTTGGCTATTTTACAGTGGACATTTAATTATTATTTATGATTGTTTAGCGTTTTTCTGAAATTGATTTATGTGGTATTCTCGTGCAATGACGGTCAGTTTATTAATTTGTTAAGCTTGCGGCGGTTTTGTGGGATACGACAACCCCCGACCATGCC